GGGGGGTTGTCTTGTGCAGGAAAACAGTTTAAGATCATAGAGGAGGATAAAGACACTTCACCGAATGACTACCCCACTCTCCATTCCCACAGTTCTCCTCCCCTGCGGGCAAGATTTTTTTTAACAAAGCAAAAGAACAACTGCTGAATAAAACATCGCGTTGTACAGGGAGGAGAGCAGGAACTTTGGGACTGCAGGCGCTTCATTAGGGTGACACGCCTCACCCCTATCCTCCACCATTTCTATGGAACAATCCGAGAATAAAAGATAATAATGACCATAATAATAGTCATGATATTTTATTACTCTAGCGAGAATGTTTCTCTGCTTTTACACAAACTGTGAAGATTGACTGTGGAAGATCTACCTGAGACCATAACCTTAACCAGCGGGGTTTTTAAAAAAAAAACAAACATGTATTGTAAAAAAGAGAAAATAAGAAAATGAAAAATTCCGTTCATTGTTGGTTATGACAAACGTTTTTGAGGACTTGTGTCTTGTTTCTTATTTTATTTATTTTCATTTTGTTTTTCCGTTAAAGATGACTTAACTTCCTTTTACTTCTTGTTGTCTCCCTTTGCATTTGCTGAAATATCAAAGCTGGTGGAAGCAAAAGAAGCAAACCAATTTGGTAAATGTATAACTTGTAAATGTTAAAGAAGCTCTATTCAAAGGTTTATGATATATGTTTATGTTGGAGTACAGGAAGCACAACATACAGTTCAGCATATTAAAATCCATTTTATATTTCTCTCGCACATATGTGACCTACTCCCACAAATTCAGGCTTTTCCGCTCTCTGTAACGAAACTGAAAATTGAACTTTGTTTTGGGGTTTTTTTCAAAAACTCCGTATCTTCTTATTTAAGGTGCAACCACAGCATTAAAGAACAAAAAAGGAAACCCGGCGGAGAAAGCAAATAAACTGGGTAAAGGTTCGTTTTGGTGTTGTGGTTCACTATATGTAGCCTCTTCAGTGGAAGCCTGGGTTAGTCAGAGTGGGTAGTGTACATGCGTGAGCATCAAGCTGTGTACAATAGGTGTGATAAGAAACTGATACATGTAAAGAAGATAAATATGCTAATCAAAACAGAGCAGAATGATGAGCATTTCAGGGCATCTTAACAATATTGTTACAATCTGTGTGATGTTACTACAGAGATCACAGATAATATCTGCTGTCCATTCCTGTTTTCTTTGTTTTCTTCTTCTTGTTGTTTTATTTTTATCTCAGACATTTTCATTTCAAGGTTTAGGATCACACTGAATGTAAATGGAGTTCTTGGGAGTTCTTTACTAGATGTATTGTCTTACTAAAACATATGTTTTCTGTGTGCTTTTGATGATGAGAACTTTCAGACTTTTATAGGTTGTTTTGGACACATCAAGAACATCAAGTATGTCTGACTTTGACACAGACTTTGACAGTTTCCAAATAATATAATCTCAGATACAATCTCCATTAGCTAGTTGCTATATCCTCCGGCGATATAGTAGGTAATGACAAGTGCCAAAGTGCCCCGTTCAAGTCGTCACTGTTATTAAGTATGGATATGAGTTCAAGATGTGCTGGTGACTGTTCCTTTTACATCCTGGAGTACCTGGTCGATTCACAGTGAGAACAAAAGCTCAGCAAATGAGAAGAATACGATAAATACTGACAGATTACTCAAAGGTTTAAAGGAACAATTTGGCATTTTGGGAAACAGGCTTGCAGAGTGTGACCTAATAAGGGAAATCAGGTAAGCTGGATCTGTGCACGGGTAACTAAAGCAATCAACCAGCACCTCTGAAGTTCATCGTGGCATATCATGTTTCTTTAATGGCTAAAAAAAATCATGTTAAAACAACGAGTCGAAACAACAGGAAGTCATTGGCCATCAAAGCTCCCAAATAGGCCAACCCATCACTGTAAGACCACCAACTGTTGTATTTAGACTTAGCATTAAACAAGAGATTTAATGAGGTAATTAGCAAGCTGAAGTGCTGGCAGTCATGTTTTGTAATCTTTGGATAGAGCCAGGCTTCCTCTTTTCTCCTGTGTCCAGCCATTGTGCTCTGCTAACTGGCTGGTGCTCTGTTCATAGTAAATGGAAAAAAAAATTTAATCTCCTCTGGTCAAAAAATGTTTTTGTTTTTTTTTGTTTTCCTCCTAAAATGTCAAATTATTGCTTTAAAATAACAACCAAAAGTATGCAAAACTCCTGTTTATATTCTTTGTGTATATTAGATTTACGAGTGGCAGACCTCATTTCTGTTTTTGTTTCATGGTGCATTATATATATAAATATATTTCATTTTTTTTATGCATATTGGGTACATTCATGCAAGTTAAAAAATTTCACTCGGGTTGAGAAAAGGCTGGCTAATAGTGGCGGAAATTATACTGCCAAAAGGATCATTGTTTATTTCCATGTTCTCGCAGCTCTCGCTGTGCCTTTGATTTCCATTTCTGTGCAGACACACGCGCCCTTTGTGCGTGTGTCTGCCCTTTGAGGGACGCAAGTCTAGTGAGCAGCTCACACTCAGCTGTGCTCTCTTTCTTGATAAAAGTCCTCCAAGTACAATTGAGGGGGGGGGGATTAACAGTTTTGAACATGTAAACAGTGTTGTGTGACACTTTCTTAGTGTAGAGTGTTTACCGACTTTATTTTGATGATAAGAAGCGTCTGCGTTGGCAGAAGGTGTGAAGTATTCTTAACGGAAGAAGGGGAAATGAGTTGTTTCAAGATTAGTTTAGTGCAGCTTAACGTGACTGCATTTGCCAAGTGTTTTGTTATTTATCGCTGTATCCGGACCCATGACATTTGCTGTTTGTTCCAGCTGTTTTATTAGTTGCGGTATTAGTGCCATATGTTTTTAAGTGACTTTTGTCATAAACCTTTTTTTGTAGAATGGTGTGCAATAATTGGAATACCGTAGGTACTGCAATATAATAAAAGTCAAAAATCATGCAATACTTAAGCATACCACATTCCGGAAGTGATGCTTGCTATATTTATTGTCTGCTCAATAGTTATATCCTACATTACAGGTAAGCCCTTATAACCCGATTCATCTCCCTCTGTGTGCAGCAGCAGCTCCTTAATCCTACATTGGTGCATTTTTATGAAAAACATGCATTTAATTTTCTTTACGAACCTTTTTTCTAAATAGTCTTTTTCACGTTCCTCTCACTGAAACATAGTTTCACTCCAAGGTCCTTTTTTGAAACTTGGGTGTTATGTGTTTGAGTTTGTTTTTTGTCTTTTTTTTTGATTGCGTTATCTTTTCCTTTCAGTATGCGGCAATCAAACCCACTAGAAAACAGGAGGCTCAGAGCTGAAGTACTAAAGCCTGCAGTCATGATAAATACAGCTCGTTACCAATAAGGTGTTTGGGCCGGCTGTAATGCATCGCATTACGTCGTGTTGGTCGCAGCATACACTAGAAATTGCCTCTTTTTTTTCTTTTTTTTTTTTACTTCTGTAACACTAGTAAAATAAGCATCACAAGTCTGTTTTTATTGCATGGTAAAGGCAATAAACATTTGGTTGTTGGGAGAGGAGAGCAGGCTGCAGTGCATCCTACAGAGATGCTGTTTGTTGTCTTAGACTGCAGTTTCACCCTCCTCCCTGATTAGATGACACGTTTGGTTTGCCTTGTGTAACAAAAATTAGACGTACCGGTCTTTCATTCAACTGGAAAGTCAATGACCCAATGTCAGCTGGGGTGGTGTCTCGCAGTATTAAGAAAGCAAAGTTTTCAATGCTGTTCTATCTTGAGCTCTTACAAAGAAAATCATTTATGCATTGATGAATACATGAATGAATAATGCAGTTGTGCATGAATGTACCCAGTAAGCATTAATACCACTGAAATGGAGGTACTGTAGCATTTAAGGTTGTGGTCTGTCACAGATTGTGCGGGCCACAGATTGAACACAATTGCTGGCAATATGTTAAAACAATTTCTCAGTTCTTTGCTAAATTTGATTAAAGTTTATCCATGTGAATAGAACCATGACTCGTTGCTATGTGACAAAATGTGATTTATAACAAAGAATTGCCTTAATTCCCAGAAAGTGCATACCTCGCAATATACTACTTGTGGGAAAAGATCTTAGGTTAAAGAATGGAGTCCTGTTCAGTTATGCAGCTAAACCAGTTTCCAACTCTCATTTGATCCCAAAGTTTCTTTTTTAAATACTTTTGACATTCGCGTGTAAATTTTAATTTTGCCTTCTAAATTGTGGCTATAAACGCCTAGAAAATTGTTAATCTTACCTTGTAGTTAACCACTTATCACCTGGTGCTTTGAGGGTTTCTAAAAGGAACAGTGCCAACATTTCTCTCTGAGTGGAAATGTTCTCATTTTCTGTTCAACCTAAGAAGGGCTTCGTCACATCGTGCCATTCATTGTGCTATTAGCTCCCCTAAAGAAAAAACATATTCAGTTGCACTAGCACGATATAATTGCAGCTGTTAGCCCTAATTATCACTATACACACAACCCTGCTTTCTTGGTACTGATTCAGCAAAGAGAGTGGGTGCCAATGGGGGGGGGGTACTGCAGTAAGGCTCAACCAGTACTGGCAAAATTGGCAGACGCAGAGGTTTTTTGGCATTCAGATAAATATTAGTTTAACAAACTCAAAGAGGAGCTAAATGTCCGTCACCTTAAACTTGAAACGTACTACCCAGTTTTCTGTGTGTGTGTGTTTTTTATAGTAAAACGTCTACCTTACTGCAGTAGCTTCCATGCTGTCTGATTTTGGCAGTCAGGAGTGATTTCTCAACAGCAGCCTCGCTAAATAACTGGACAAGGCAGACACATTTCAAAGATTTCATTTTACTCTTACAGGAAAGAAGCGGGATGTCACTATTTGATGGCACGGCTCCTCAGTGTGTCAACGTTACCAGCGGGAAAGCTGCCACCTTTTGGCACCAACTTTCCCCTTTATTGGAG